CTTACTAGCATTATGTCCAAAAGAAGCTGCCTTCCAGCTTCCTCTGGGAATGTCAAAGTTCCTCCCTGCCCTGGTCTTGGTGTCAGGTGAGGCCTCTGCCACACCCCTGTTTTTGAGTTTAAGCTGAGTACAAGTCAGATGCTAAAGCTGGAATGTGCTCGTAACTGCGTGTGGGTAATGAGACCTAATGAGACTGACTCCCAAACAAGGGCACTAGAAGGAGATTTTGGAGAGGGCTGTCCTTCAGTGTATACCCAGCCAACCATGTTGCCAGAGGTTGAAACACTTTTAAAAACTTTTCTTGGACTTTTGTTTAGAGCCATTTAAAACACACACATGGGGTGGGGGGACTGGGGTTGTGGCTCAGTGGTAGAGCACTTGCCTAGCACGTGCAAGGCCCTGGCTTCGATCCTCAGCACCGTATAAAAATAAATAAAATAAAGGTATTGTGTCCAACTACAACTAAAAAATAAAATATATAAAAAATAAATAAATAAAACACACACATGTGCGCATGCACACATGCAGTCAGCCTGCCCCTCCTTTTCTAAGTACTTCATTTTGGAATGAAAGGGCATCTTTACCCCCTTGTTTGTTACCTTATTAGTCTCTAAATGACTTCAGGCTTTTCCCCAAAGTCTAATCTACTCCCCAAGAAGGGAAATTGGCCACTCTTTTTTTTAAATATTTTTTAAGTTGTATATGGACACAATTCCTTTATTTATTTTTATGTGGTGCTGAGGATAAAACCCAGTGCCTCACAAGTGCTAGGCAAGTGCTGTACTACTGAGCTAATACTCCAGCCCCAAAATTGGCCACTCTTAAGGATGTGCTAGAGACTGTGATTCAGACTCTGGGGGAAATCCCCAAAAAGGGCTTGGAACAGACTTCCAGCCTCCCCGTGACTGTTTTGATGGTGACAACAGTCAACTGGAGGAGGAAGTCCTGGAATGTTTATTAAGTGGCTAGTCACCATTCTGGGCGGCATGCCTTCTGGTATAATGGGGTTCCATACCTTTGATGTGCAAATGAGAGGTAAAATAACACCCGTCATGGAATCTAATGTATCTGAACCAACAGCTCAGGGATGTTCCCTAAAGGCTCCCCAAAGTCCTAGAGGCCCTGTTCTGGATTCACAGCGACCAAAGTGCCACAGAAAATCCTTGGAGGGCCTGCCTTGAGAAGCTATCATCTAACTATTGGCAGGCTGGGCCCTCAAATGGTGGGGAGTTGTACACAAGCCCTGCAGCTGGGGACAGGGGCTAGGTCTCCTGTTACTCTGCAGAATGGTGCTTTCCTTACTTGCAGGCATGGGTCAAAGGTCTGGTAGGGCTGCTGAGGGATATCTGGCTCTGGAGAGCCTCAGGACAGGGGGAGACTCCCTCCATCACTGTGTGAGTCTGGGTGAGAGATGTCTCAGGGAGGACTAGCAAGGCAGGTGTCAAGCTTCACTGTCTGAGCTGTTAGGAACCCTGGTAGGGTGGCAAGAGGACAATACTAATTTTTGATGTATCACGGCATTCCCAGGAGCCTGGCTGAGACAAAGATCAGGGTAGCAACCTTCCTGTTGTTGGCCTAATGGTGAAAGCAGGGGAGGAAAGCAGGGGAAAAGGTGGGCAGAGTGGGCAGGGATGCCCTGCTTCACTCCAGGCCCTCTCAAAGCACTCAGGAGCCCTCTTTCTAAAAAGGGGAACACTTGTCCCTGTCGCCAGAAAGCCAGTCTAAAAGGTCAGCTTCTGGCCTTCTCTGCTTTCCCTCTGTGCGTTTCCTGGGGAGAGGCAGGGCAGCATGTGTCTGTGTCAGAGATGATAAACACAGAGGTCAAAGAACACAAGTACTGTGTGTACCCTCCCTAGGCCCAAAGCCTCATGCAGTCAGGATCGGTCTCAGCCTGGGTGAGGGCCTGAGGCATGCGCCTCTATCCCTTGGAGCTGCTACTTCACTCTTATGGCACAAACCAGGCAGCAAGCTCAAGAGCTTGGGGTGGTATATGCTCCAAAGGAGAGAGCAGAGTCTGTCCCCTGTGAGCCATGGCCACTAGTGTCCCTGTCTATAAAGCAGGGATGAAGATGGCAAAAAATAGAAATGACTAGATGCAGAGCAGTAAGTTTGTGCCACATGTGAGACTAAACAACCCAAGGACGAAGTGCTACTGGCAGCCCCACTTGATAGGCAAGAATACTGAGGCTTAGAAGAGCTATCACCTGCCCGTGGCTATCTAGTCAGAAGTAATGGAGCTGACTTGAACCCAAGTCTTTAGGTTTCTGCAGCTTTGCTTGTAGTCATGTGACAATCCTCTAATTACTTTAAGGAGCTTTTCTGATCTCCAAATAAGATAATATCCCTGCAAGTGCCTGACCAACTTTTCAGTGCTGGGCAGATGTTAGCCATGGCTTACTAATGATTCCCATGTGGAGTTTTAGCTCCCTGATGAGCTGGTCAGGCCCCTGGAGTGCTGCACAAAGCACCCAGCAGAGCTCCTTAAGCACTGGTTGGACTGGACTAAACTGGAGTTGGGAGGGATTACTGGCTGGCCCCAGGGGATTTTGTGGGGTCCTGATAGTGAGAAGAAGCAAAGCTGGGGCTCAGGGTAATCTGGGGAAAATGGAGGGCAGCAGCAGGGGCCAGGAGGAGAGGCCAGACTTACCCAACATTGAGGACCTTGGGTCTCTGTAACCCAGAGCCCTCTAGCCGGAAGACAACATTGGTGAGGGTGACAGGCAGTGGGTTCTTGAAGACAATCTGTACTTCACACTCCTGACCAACTACCGCTGCTCCCAGTAACTGAGAAAAACAGAGGCCCATATCATATCAGAGACCCTGACCAAACACACAGAGTCTATATGCTACACCCCAGTGAAAAGACCCTTAGAATCAAAACTTCCCCATAAGTCCTATGTTTCTGTCCCGAGAGAAGGCTCCCCAAAAGTCAGAGAGGAAACTTCCAACCCACTCTACAGCCAAGGCTACCACAGAATCAGAGATATGAGTTCCCCTTTCATAGACAAGGAAACTGAGGGAGGCCCAGGAGACCAGAGCTGGTCCTTAACATTTTTCTCCTAGACAGACTCATTAGGCCAGCCTGTTCCTGGCTCAGCACTCTCCCCTCTTCTCCTTCAGTTTCCTTTAACCCCATGCCACCACTCCTCATGCCCCCCAAAACTGCACTCACTGTGAGGGAGAGGTCTGGGGTACGCAAACGGAAGGTGTGCTGCTTGGCCAGGACCTGCCCACTCTCCTTGACATGGCCAGAGACATTGAGCAGCATGGCCCCTTGGTCCACAAGGTGGGGCCGGTATTCCTTGTAGGCCACAGGCATGGTCACACGTTCCGCTGGGGAGAGTATGCACGGGTCACTAAGGCGTGTCTCTCCAGATGTGGCCTTCCCAGAGGTGTACCCCCTTGCTCTGGGTCTCTGTGTCTACAGCCCCTGGTGTTTGGCTATCTAGGGGGCAGGGCTGGGAAAGCAGCACTTACAGGCTCCTGGTGCCAGTGCTACTTCCTTCTTGGACTCCTTGAAGGTAGACCCTGTGACACCAGTGTAGAAGGTGACAGAGAGGTAGAGGTGCAGCTTCACAGTGCGGCGGCTACTGCCACGATTGGTCAGCACCACGGAGACTGTCAGGTCCTGCCCCATCACTGCGTCCTGTGCTTCCACCTGCATGGCCACATCCTCAGCAGAGTCCCGGGTGGCATATACATTGGGTTTGCTGCCATGGGCAGCCGCTGTCTCCACTGCCTTCCGCTCTGCTTCTGATCCTAGGGGTTAAGGGTCAAGGGTGAGATGAAGCTTTGGCCTGGGTGGTGAGCGCTCAGTAGAACACTCGGCATGGAGCTGACTGTCTGTGGGGAATGGTACCTTCTGGGTGCTTATAGATGTGGGTGATGTCCTCCCGCATGTTGGAGCCGATGGCCTTTGTGACAATGAGCGTGCCGATGGCTTTTTCTTCCACATACACAATCTTAAAGCTGCCATCATCCTGCCGCTGCCAATATACCTTGTCACTGTTCACCTGTTGCAGAGTGAGGGCATGAGCAGGAATGAGTGAGCCAGAATGTCTGAAGGGAGGCCTAACCCCAAGTGCCTTCTATCAGTTCCAGGGGCTGCAGGGCAGGGTTAAGTCTGAAAAGTGGAAGCTTCCTGGGAGAGCCCAACTGGGAGACTTCCCAAGCTGAGCCAGACAAGGCTAGAGAGTAGGGAAGAAGCTGGCCTGGGAGGCTCCATGCAGTACATTTGGACATTAATAACAGTAATCCCTTGCACTTGTTCACTGGCTTTACAACTTAGGAAGCAGTTTCATACTCATTATCTCTTTTGATCCTGAGCACAGGAAGTAAGGTAGCCATTATTATGTCCTTTTTACAGCTGAGGAAACTAAGACCCTAGAATGAGTGACTTGCCCAAGGTCACACAGCTAGTTAGTCAACGGCAAAGTCAGGACCAGAGAATCCAGGACTGAAGCCAATGCTCTGATCACTCTGGACTGCCTGAGGAGGCACCTGGAACCTCACTCTCACCTCAGCAAAAATGAAGGGTGTGTCGTACTTCATGTAGACTAAGCCATTTTTGATGGACTCCACAGAGCAGGGGCCACAGCAGAAGATGCCTAGGGAATCAGATAGGACAGAAGTGAGGGATCCAAGGAAGCCAAGAGGGACCCTCAGACCCTGGGCAGAGGCCACAACACAATTCCTTTGCCCCCCACCCAGCAAAGTCCAGTACCCCCGGCTGGTAGCCTCTGGAAGGGGCCAAAAATCCTCACTAAATACTCAGGGCCAGTGAACACCCAGTCTAACCAAGGGAGGGACAACAAAGAAGACAGCAGCCAGTCAGTATTCCTCAGCCTAGGCTGCTCTGTGGGAAGATGGAGGTTGGGGGCAAGCCTGTGGACAGCCTGCCTTCACAGCCAGGTCATCAGCACCCTCTCTGGGCTGGCTGAAACAAATGCCCACTATCTGTGATGCCCAGAGGACAGAGCAATCTCCCTATCCTCCATCAGGATCCATCCAGAGCCATGGTGACTCTGCTGGGAAAGTGATGACACCACCATCGCCATTCCAGAAAGATCCAGAACAACACCTCAGCTCTGCAGTTCCCTCTGTGCTCTTTACTGGTAAGTGGTGTAGTGGGGGAAAAAAAGAGTCTGTCCTTATCATACTTAAGGGGGTTTCCTAGAGGATGTGGGTTGGCAGCAGGAGGCCCAGTAGGAGAAGGCCAACAGGAAGTGAGGGCATCTAACAGGAAATAATCTTAACAACACCTAACACTGTGGCCTCCTTTTACAGATGGGGAAACAGGCTCAGCAAGGTAAAGTAGATGCCAGGATCTCATAAGACAGCTGGAAGGAGCTAATAATTTATTGAGTGGCTACTGTGTTCAAATGTTCTAGGTATGCTGCTAGTCCTCTTGGATTCATTATTTCTCACTGAATCCTCCCAGCTACCCTCTATGATATATATTATCCCCATATTATACACAGAAACATGGAAGCCCAAAGATGCAAGATTCTCATTCACCTGCCCAAGATCACTTATCTGAGAACTGATCAAGGAGGAATCAAGCCCTGGCCTGGCTGGCCCCAGAGTCCCCACCACTTCTCAGGGCAGGGCCAGAACTCAGGTTTGCCAGTGCCTGAGTTCTGGCTCCAGCATAGTGGGTACCACTGTATTGCTAAACATTGGAGGTACCATTTTCATAGATGATTGAGAGGGAGGGATCTTGGAGGGGACCAGAGAAAGAAGATAGGCCAGGCAAAGGCTATCTGACCCAGGCAAGAGTCTGGAAGGAAGAAACTGGAGGGGCAGACCAGGTTTCCAGGGCTGGAATTCCAAGGTTGGAAGCGAGTGGGGATCTGTTTGTGCAATAGGTCTCATTTTTGCAGAGGAAAGGCTGATAGGTTATATGATCCCAGGCTATATCTTAGGACTGGGTTATAGGGGCTGCTTTCTTTGAATCTATCTGAGTCTTATTTGTTCATCCTGTACATAAAGCTTATACTGAATAATGGAGCAAACAGAGAGGAACTTGGAGAAAGTGAGAGTATGTGTCAATGAGAGTGAGTTGGGGACTGCATATGCTCTCCTGGTGAGCTAGTGTCCTGTGCCCCAGACAAAGTTCTTCATCTCTGTGGGCCACAATTTCCCACATGTCTCACAGGGATTGGAGTGAATCCTAAACCTAGATGATCTTCAGAATCATCATGGAAATTTTCAAAAATATATATTTTTATATAGATAGTGGACATTGTTTCAGCCACTCCAGCTGGGGCTGGGGTTGTGGTTCAGTGGTGGAGCACTTGCCTAGCACATGTGAGGCACTAGGTTCACTCCTCAGCACCACATAAAAATAAATGAATAAAATAAAGATCCAATAGAGGATTTAAAAAATATATATATAAAAAATATATATGTTTATATGCATATAAATATATTTATATATTTCAGTTCATATGTTTGTATAAAATATATATTTATATGGAATTTATATATTTATATATGTATGTGTGTATATATATTTAAATTATATATAAAAGGGTCTTTTAACTATCTCCCAGATATGTAAGTGAGAAAAGCAAGCAAGAATAGTGGACTTGCCTGGGGAGGGAAACCTCACACTGACAACTCTTGAATCTTTTGGCTTTTGAGCCATCTGAGTATATTAGTCATTATAAATAAATAAAATTAGACATTATAAATAAAACTAGGCCATTATAAATAAAACTAGCGGGCTGGGGATGTGGCTCAAGCGGTAGCGTGCTCGCCTGGCAAGCGTGCGGCCCGGGTTCGATCCTCAGCACCACATACAAACAAAAGATGTTGTGTCTGCCGATAACTAAAAAAATAAATATTAAAATTCTCTCTCTCTCTCTTTTTAAAAATAAATAAATAAATAAATAAAACTAGCCATTATAAATAATTACATAAAAAGGTGAAAATAAACCAACAGTTGCATGGCGATTCAGTTGATAAACCCATTTAAAGAACTTTGAGGCTGAAGATCTTGGTTCTCAGGCTGAGTCCCAGACTGACACTTAGAGTTTGTCACCCAGGTGGAGTGGGAGAGAGGGAACCAGGATGGGGTCTGAGAGCCAGGGAAGGCCTGCCTTACCACTGCTGGTCTCCTGGGGTGTGGCATCCACAACCTGCCACCCATCGAATCCTGAGGGTAGATCTGGCCTCTTCATCCAGCAGTCATTCCACACATGGAAATTCCTGGGTAGTGGAGGAAGGGCTGTGTCTGAGACTCCAATGCAGGGCTCCCAGCTCCAGGCCTTGCCTGCCCCTCCACATCTCAGCCTCAGCAGATATAGGAGGTCAAGCCCCAGCCCCAGCCTCACCAAACAGAATCATGGTTCAGATGCTCAAGTGGCTTCATGTTCTCATCAAAGTAGATGTCCATAGTGAGGGACGTGTCTGTGTCATGTGCAGAGTTGAAGTTGGTGACAGTGCGGGTAGCTAGACCCAGGCATCGCAATACTGTGGAGGAACCAGGGTTGAAATTCGGGGCAGAGGGTAGCGGGGAAGGTGAGGCATCAGGTCATCAATATCAGGGGGAAAAGGACAACTGAGGTTGCCAAGCTGAAATTCACCACCATGGTCAGGGGTCACAGGGCCCAAGAACCTTTGGGCTATAGAGCACTCGGGGTTAGCGAAAGCCAGGGCACCTGCCTGGCTTGAGCCCTGCATATTGCTTCTTTTTCCTCTCTCTTAGGCCTCTCTCTGTTGTTCACATAATTAATGATAATTAAGGCAGCTTATCATCTACCTTTGCCTGCACCCTATGCTATAGTAGCCATGACTGGGTTGGGCTAGATGAAGATGGAGACTAGCTTCCCTCCCTCCTCCTTGTAGGACCCAAGTCACTCCTGTCCTGATCCCTTCACTACCTGTGGTGGTCACACCAGCAAAGACCCAGCACTGGCCATAGGGGACAGAATAGCCAGTGCGTAGGTAGCTAAGCAGGATCTCCACGCTGCCCACCCACGCTGAAGGGTTGGTGCCTCGAGAGTAATCGCCAGACCAGTTCCCAATCAGGACTCCGTTGTCATCCAGGGAGTTCACCTGCCCAAGACAAGATGGGGTGGGGCTGAGTTGGGGGAGGTGCTCAAGACCTGGCTGGGTCCCCAGCCCAGCCCCTGACCCTGCAACCACCCCTCACCCCTAAATGCCTCAAGACCTAGACATTAGCCTGAGCCCCACCTATCTCTTCCCTGAACTATCTATACCCCCTCCTATCCCTGTTCTGACACAGGAATGTGAATCCTGGGTGTGCCAAGTTGTGGGTTTGGCCCTACATTACACAGGAGTTGGGACAGGAGCCAAGGAAGGGTGTAGTGGGAGCAAGCAAGGGAGAGAAGAAGAGTGAGACCCCCTTCCTGCAATACCCTTTGCAAAGGCAGGGACATTCCTGAGGATACTGAAGGAATCCAGCAAGGGTAGGACCCTGGGCAGGGTGCAGAGGAGGCAGTAGGAAGACACAGTGTAAGACTGAGAGATATGAGGGTGCTCACCATGGCAGAGATGACCCTGGAGACACTGACTGGATCCCCACGACCTCCATATGGCATTCCCCGCCGGTCCAGGATGTACAGGCAGGCATCCAGCACCCCGTGGTCAAACTGGTAGGAGGGAGGGCAGAGTTGGCTACAGATCATTCTGGAGACATTCTGACACTGGGCCAGGACCCTTTTCCACCTGCCTCCCCTCATTGCAGGTGACCCTAACCAGTCATACCTGACCATAGTTCCAGGTCCGCTCACCGATCTGTGCTTCAGTTCCATAGTAAATTCTCCCAGACTCATTAAGCACATACTCCTGCCGCCAGTCCTCATGGTCCACATATACAATGTCCTCTGTGTCCCCAGAAAACACATACTTTATTCCCTATACTCTCTCTCTGGGCCCTACCTGCCCCTTGGCCAGGTCTGTAGAACTCGTGACCATAGAAGAACAGAGGATAACTCTAGCCTGACAGAACTGCTCTCAGGAAGGACAGAAGGACCACAACACAGATGGTAGGAGAAGGTTGGTCCTAGCCAGGGTCTTCCTCAATAGAGGTAAGACAGGTCATGTTTCTATACTGGGAGTAGTTCCCCTCCACAGGACAATGGGAGGCTGACTTTTCCTGTGGCCAGGTACCCAGGCACCCACTCAGATCCTAGAAAAGGAAGCCCTGGCCTGCCTTTCCCTCCTGCCGACCTCTGCTTCTATCCCCAACTGGCTTACCTGGGCACCAGGGATTGAAGAGGATGTAGATCTCGTTGTGGGGGTCAAAGGGTAACTGGAATTCCCCAGCCTCTGAGCGTGTGCGGACAGTGAATTGAAACTTGCCGATGATGGCATTGGGGGAGGTGTGAACTCGAAGATTCAGATTCTGCCCACTGGCCTTCATCACCTGGGCCTTCCAGCCCCCACTGCCCCCCTTGCCTACTGGGATGATCACGTGGGTACCCTTGCCAACCTCGGGGTTGTTACCTAGAATGGGAAAATTAGCAATTAGCTGGTAAGACCTTGCTTAGACTTCTCCCAGCCCCACCCAAAATGTCTGTGAGCCAGTGTGTGTATATGAGTGTCCCTGAGTTGGGTCATTCTGTGACAATCTCCCTCAGAGTAGCTGTGTCCGCCCGATGATTGCCTGCGAGTTAGGGCAGAGCCCCAGTCCAACATCCCAAACCTGTTCCCCTGACATTGAACTCAGAGATAGGGAGGGGAGACCAGGGCTATTGTTACCCTCTTCCTGCCTGACAATCCCAGTGCCTGGGCTGGAGGAGCAGAGCCACACTGGCTGATGCAAATCCCCCTATCCTGTAGGAAAGGGCAGTCCACATACCAAAGGCCAGCCCGACCTGCTCCCCAGAGCTGCAGCTCCCAGAGCCCAGGGCATCCCTGGTGGAGGTGGTAGGGGTATCTGGGAAATTAGAGGCTGGGTGGGCAAGGTTGGGCTCTAATCAAAGGGTAAGAAGAGTCGCCCGCCCCCGGTAGCTGCATAATCACTAGCCTGGGCAGTCAACGGTCACCAAGCAACGCGGTGAGAGAGGCACCTGCCCTGGGTCATGGGACAGAGATATACAGAGAGAGTCAGGGTTGGACAGAGAGATTGAGAGATACAGATAGATACAGTGAGTGTGTGTGTGTGGGGGGAGAACCAACCACACTCTGTAGAAAGAGCAGACCCAGAAAGAAGGGCACACTGAGGCTGACTCCAGAAAGGAAGTATTGTGAAACAGATACCCTGGAGGCCTAAGGAGAGAAAACTTGGGAAAACTTAAACACCAAGACCCTCCCCAAGAAGTCATGTATACATCACCTAGACATTTGCATATGCCTTATCTGGCAGGGTGAGGGGTGATAGGCAGGAGCCTAAAGATCTCTCTGATCTGATACCAGCCTCTCCTCCAACAAATCTAGGGCCTTCGCCCTTCCATCCAGGCCACACTCACCAATGAGCAGCTCAAGGGCAATGCGATCAGAGGACTCATAACTCCGGTTCAGGAAAAGGACCACATGGAAAGGCTGCCCACGGCGCACAATCAGTTCATCATACTCATACTCATCTGTGTGATGCTCTCTGCGGTTCTGGTCTGAGCGTGAGCTCAGCAAATCCACACCGGTCACCACCAGCATGCCCTCTGCAAGGCCACATATCTGGGTCAGTGAAGCCCCCCACAAAGAACCCAGCACTCCCTTATGCCCCTAGTGATGAGTCTCAGGTCCCATTAAAGCCTTTCAGCTCTCAGCCAAGATGAACAGCTGGCCTCACCTCGGATGGTGCCATCTCCAGCTGCGTTTATACCACTGCCGCGGGAGTCAGGTCTTCGGTCTCGAGAGCTAGACCCTCGACTTCTGGAGCCAGACCCTCGACTTCTGGAGCCAGAGGGCTCAGGCCCCCAGTCATCATCTGCCCTATTCCTCCGTGAGCAGCAGCCACAGCAGCGAGCCCAGAAGGACCGGGCTCTTCCTCCTCTAGAGCGTCTGTCTGGCTCTGGCTCTGGCTCTGGAGAAGGTGTGGTAGGGGGTTGCAAGGGGTTCCCGCCCCAACGGCCCACGTCTGAGCGAGGACCATCCATCGTGCCTGTGAAGAAGAGGCAGGGGAGGCTCTGATCACTCACTCAGAGCTGTACCTAGCTAGTCCACTCAGAAACCCTTCTCCAGTGAGATGATTCAGTCATCCCAACCAGAGGACTGAAACAATTTGACTTTGACCCAGAAATTCCCCTAGACCCATCTGAGACCCTCCCCCAAAACTCCATTCAGACACCCCCAAGAAAACTTCCCATAATGCAGAGAAAAGCCTTCCCCATCTCCTTATTCACACCCACCAAACCACATCCAAAAGATGGATGCCCAACGGAAAAACCCACTCAAGGGCCCATCTGAGGAAATGGACACAGTTCCGTGAATGAACACCTGTCACAGCCTCAAGACGCATCCCCACAGACCAGTGCACCTCAGTGTCCCTGGGCCTGGTCCCTCCACCTGCTGGCTTCTCAGTCTAGAGGTCCACGACGCTGACAGCCTCTAGAACCCATTTCTTTGCAGAAAGCTCCCCACTCAAGGCTCCCCATAAGACCCGCGGGTGGCATGGGGGACCTGGGGTCCTTGGCATTCCTCACGTTGGGGCAAACCCTACATGGGGCTGCGGGGAGGGCCAGGGCACAGGAGGTGCCGGGAGCCGGCGCTGGGTCCAGCAAAAGCTGCTTCTCCAGCCCAGCGGACAGGTACCCGCTGGCCGGCACTCCTCCTTTCTGGGGCTGGACCTGTGCGTGTGTGGCCCCCAGAAAGCGCAGACCGCTGAGGCTCAGCACCACGATGACTTTCGGAGCCCCTCACCTGGCAGCGACGTTGGCGACGGCAGTATTGAGTCCCAGGACCCGGGCGGGAACAGGTCGGGACTGATGGCACGGGCGCACGGGCGCACGGGCTGGACGCCGCCGCGCGAATAGAAGGTGTGGGGCAGGCGGGGTAAGTGGTTTATGAGGGGAGGGAGGGCGGGGCTGAGCTGCTAGGAAGAAGGGGAAGAGTGGTTGCTCCATCCCTGGGGGTGGGGTGGGGGGAAGAGGCCTGGCCTCTGGGGGCTGTCTCAGGGAGGTAGGGGCGGAAAATGGATACTGGCCACACCCCTTTCCCCTTTCTAGGAACCAGGACAACGCTAGCGAGGGGGCGGGGTCCGGGTATGTCAGGACCAAGACTGGAATGAAAAGATAAGACTTTGGTGGGACTATCAGTGTGAGGGACCCCACAACAGGATTGTTCTTGCCAGACAGGGTGCGTAAAGAGTGGTGGGGCAGGGAGACCCTTCTACCCACAGCCATGTCTGGCTGACCTCATGTTCCCAAGCTGAGGATGCCCACCTCTACTCCTGCAGATCCTTGCCGCCAAGCTCTTTTGCAGCCTAGGCCAGGCTCAGCCTTGTGAAACTGGCCCATGGGTCTGGTCCTGGAATTCATTCTGCCTAGGGAGGTTCCAGCATCCTGGGCTGCAGACTGGTGACATCAACAGCCAGGCCCTCAGACTGGCTCCACCAGCCAGCCCCTGACCTGCCTGCTTTACCAGATCTTCTGACCGCCACCCCCCATGTCTCTCCTTCCTCCAGCTGCTCCACAGTTCCCAGCATGAGTGAGCTGCCTTTCAGCATCTTGTGTCTCCCGTTTGGGACTGGGGTTGGGGGTCAGAGTAGGAACAATCTCTTATTTTCTCCTCTCAGCCTGGAGGATTAGGCCTTTACATTCAGGCCTGGGTGGAAACTGAGGCCCCCTCCCCAGGCTACAATATTCCTTTTTCTCCTGGGAGGAGTGTCTGGTCAGCTGGAGTTGAAAATTCTTCCTCTTCTTCATCCTGGAATTCTTCCTGGGAATCCAGACCAACCGGCTCCAGGCACCTACCTGTGTGCTTCCTAGCTCCACCCCTAGCTCTGAGAGAAACACCTGAGATGCCAGGGAGACAACCTCAAGGCAGACGCACTAGGCATCTTCAAGGAGGCTTTCCTTGGGTCCTACTCTCATGCTCAGCAGCTAGGAGTCCCTTCTCTTCAACCCACTGGTGTTCCAGCTCTGTCTATGAGCCACTGAACAGAAGATAATGAAAACAGGGTTGCCAAAAAAGACAAGGAAACGGACTTGAAGAGAGGGTGCTGATGTACCAGGAAGGGAGAACTGGGGACAGAGACTCCAGCTGGAGGGGAGCCCCACACCGACTTTCTTGTCCAACAGCAAGCCCCAGCACCTGGCAAGGGTCTGTGGCACCTTCTAACTCTCAGCACATACACTGGTGGAAATAAAAATTCTAGGCAGTGTGAGGCAGGTCAGCCAAAGGGCTTCATCGTGGGGCTGTCTGAATACCACTTATGGTACAGGAAGGGGTGAGGCCCTGTATGGCTTGATGTGTGTGAGCACATGTGGGCCCAGGCAGATCCCAGAGAACCAGGAAAATGCCTTTGTCACACTCTCCCTTGTTTCAATCAATCTTTCTCTTTCTCTACCCAGCCAGGTTTGACTGGGTGCCCTAACCCTGAGCCACTCCCCCTCTCCTCCTTCCTGGAGGCTTGGTGCCTCAGGGTTTTCAGTCTGGACAAGTTGTAGGGGACAGGAAGAGAGAAAACCACAGAAACAGACACTCAGTTCAGTATCTCAGGGAGCTGAGGCCAAGACTTTGCCCAACCATTTCATGTACTTTTTTCATTGATATAGAAAAAACAAGGCTGGTAGATGACTTTGGCTCCAGCACCTCAGAGCTCAGCAACTTTGGGCAAGTCTTAACAGCAGTTTCCTCATTAGTACAAATGGGTATAATCATCCTCACCCCTGAGAGTTTGTGAGGATCAAATGGGATCAAGTATTTCTAAAGGTTTTTCAACTGTGAGACACTGTTCATGGGGACCGATACTATTGCTACAACAAGGTGGAGAAAGGGAATTCTGACTTGCTCCTCCTGGAACATGGAACACTGGAGACTTCTCAGTTGAGGTGAATGAGAGCCAGGGAAGAGAGGAGAGCATCTGAAAGGGGCAGGTGTCATGGGGGAAACTCTCTTCCAGCTAGAGAGACATTTTTCCCTCTTGGTATCAGGGATTGAATTCAGGGGTGCTTAACCACTGAGCCACATCCCCAGCCCTTTAAAAATATTTTAATTAGAGACAGAGTCTTGCCAAGTTTCTCAGGCCTCACTAAGTTGCTGAGACTAACTTTGAACTACGATCCTCCTGCCTCAGCCTTCCAAGCAACTGGGAATACAGGTGTGTGCCACCATGCCCAGCCAGTTAGAGAGACTTACAGTTGTTTTGTGGTTTTCCCAGTTCCTATCCCAATCTAGAACCTAGGCCCAAACCCAATTACAAAACCAGAAGATAAGCTTAAATCCAGACCTGTCTTCTGTGCCCAACACTGGTTTTGCTTCTCTGTAACAGGGAATAACAGTGTAGATCATTAAATGAAAGCAGACACACCCCAAGTCTCTTCCTTTTCTTTTTCCAGAATATGTGGCAGTAGTAATGATAGTAGTAACACAGAAGCGGCAGTGACAGCAGCTCAGCAGCCTGAAGGGGCCTCTCCATTCTTTATTCAGTCCCAATAAGTTAAAGGGCAAAGGTGTAGGACAGGGCCTCTTAGGTGAGGATGCTGCTAACTGAAGGCAGCAATTCAGCCAGGTGCTCCAAGACACCCCCCTCTTCGCATAGTGGGTTGCCCTCCAAGTTGAGAAGGACTAGCCTGGGGCAGGAGGCAAGAGGCTGGAGTGCTGCAGGTTGCTGGAGGCCTTGGGTGGAGAGTCAAGGAAAGTTCAGCAGGTTTCCCCAGATCTGTCTACTACTTGGCACCCTTGAGAGCTGGCAACTGCTGCCTGGAAGCCTGTTTGATGGGAATGTCCCATGGAGGGAGTAAGGCTCAAGGCAGGGCTGCAAACACCTGCCCATAGTGGCTGGGCAGGAAGCACATGAAGCTGGCTGGGGGTGGTTCCAGAGCAGTGGTGGAGACTATGGCAAAGAAGAAAACTAACCTGATACAAAGAGGCATTCACTGTTCAGCAATGACCAAGTGCTGACAAGTGGAAATAAGGGTCAAAGGTTGCTCTAACTTCCAATTTTTAAAAGAGGAGTCAGTCTTAGATTTTTTAAAAAATATGCAATTTCCTGGTTTTTATAACACTGTGTGGTCCCCAGGAACCACCTTCAGGTTGCCCGTTTGTGAACTCTGGTTTGAGGAAGTCACTTACCCTCTACAAAACTCCACTGATGCAAGTTAATGATAGCTCCAGACAACCCCAGGCTATCATCTCCCCTCAGCTCACACTGCCAGAGCCTCTGTCTCCCGCCCATCTCAGTCTGGTACTCTGTCTATGTCTGCGGTCTGTCCCTCCACAGTGTCCTCCTTACTCTACACTATCAGCAAGGGAGCCAAAAGGATACGGTTGTTGCACAGTAAAAGTTCCTGTAGCCGGGGCAAGTTGGTAATGCCATCCAGGGACTCTATGGCATTATCGTTTGCCTGCAGCACCTGGGGAGCAGGAAGGCACAAGATTGAGTGGGCAGTTGTC